ATACATTGGAGCATTTCCCAAGCTCAGTAGGGAGACGAGGGCCTCGAGCTGTTTTCGAGTGAATAGTAGGAGCGTGGATAATAATCAGCCAGACATCTGGATTCTATTTGCGGGCGATGCCGTCGGGAACTCTATCTTCTTTCTGTCGCGTGTTCACCCTTCTGTCCACGTTCGAATGCAATATAATCCTAGGTTTTTCATCTTCACCTAGGGGCGGCTCGGAGAGACCTTTGAATACGGCTCGTAACTCATGAGTCGTGGGTGCATCGCGAGCGTAACGAACTAATGCCGAATAGTGACCCAAATCGATCTCGATATCTGCGCTATCGAACAGCGTCGGCCTCGCTTCGAGCTCGAATTTCAGTCGCGTTCGTACCGATGTGAACTAGTACGTTGATGGAAAATTAATAACAAGTCGTTCCGCGGACCACTTTCACTTTGGTCAATTCAGACAAGAAGCAGCTTGTTCCTCTGAAAATTCCTCGAAAAATTCTTGCCTTTTCCCACCGCTCAAGAGGGAGAAGTGAGAAACTCGCTTCGCTCGCTTAGAAGAGATTTCTCGGCAGTTGAATCGATCTCGCTCTGACCCCTCGATCCTCCCCCTCGGAAGCCTCGCGCGCCCCCTGATATCATTTGTCTGCTTATTCCGACGCCTGAAGCGTTTCCGAAACTCCCGGCCCGTCAGCTATCTACTCATGGACGTGGATATTTATCGCGATGAACTGGGATATATTATCTTATGAATACATAGATGCCGATTACGATACTAACCTCGGACATTGTAGGGGAACAGAGGTCGCGGAAAGATATACCAGAGCGATGATCACTGACCGAGATGCCACGCGCGGTGGCCCTGTCTTTCACAACGCGAGCTGCACGACGACGCGCACGTCGTTGAAGGAATAAACTTCCGCCTCGTGAGATCGACGAGTTTAACTTCGTTTCTCGGCTCCAGCGATACATGTGCCAAGATGAACACACGCACGTCATGTAGCGTTTTATAAACCTGATGCGTCTCGCGGCGTGTTTTGGCCTGGCTTATGAAGTCATAATACGTTTCGCTCAAAACATCACGGTAGGATGATCCTATGGCCCCACCAAAGGTGTCTCGGCATTCGACGGCGCCGATGGTGCAAAATGCAAGAGACCAGGAACAAAGGAATAGGCAGCTCAAGAGGGTTCATTCCCCCAAACTCAGGGGGAGCCAACTCCGGGAGTAGGTATTGTTAGTGTTCTGCGCCTGCTCTCCATAACTGCGCCTGCGCGCCTGATCAGGAACACTATCGTCGTCCTCTAGCAAAAGCATGAGCAGACAATAAAAACGGCCACTTTAATTTCGTCTACGACGGTTGACGCACGTGTCTTTCCTCATCCTAGGAAATCCCCGTAATTCTCAGTACCAAGGTCCTAATTCTAATAGGTATTCATCCTCGACGCCGTCGGCGGAGGCCATCATCAAGTAGAGATCAAAGCTCGAACGAAGCGCCGAGAGGTGTAGCTCACCCAGCCTCGACCGACTTTCCCCGAAGACCCTTCGACTGAGTACGGGAAGGGCTCAGCTTTGAGAGAATCTTTTCGCGACGGGGTTCGGTACTTGCCACCGCCGGTTTGACCGAGCGTTCCTCTCGATGGAATTTCGGAATCGATGCCGTGCTGTGCAGGAAACTAAGAATTGCTTCTCTCAAATCTTCGGCGAGATGAGAGGATGTCGATTCTATATCTTATAGTTGATCAACTGGTTTCGTAAGAAGCATGCAATCTTTGCAACTGATCCTCCCGCTTGGGTTCAGCGTGCAGCCGACTTCCCGGTGAAGTATTGATACTCCGAAAGCAGTCAAGAAAGTGAACTTGAACACAATAGTCGATGCTACCCATGAGGTTTCCGGTACACATGAGGCAGAGTTGAGCGAGCCGACTCCTGCGACGATATCGTGTGTGGTCATGGCGATACGATCGTCTCGGGCTCACAGGCTCGAGCCCTGTCAACACAGCTGAACAACAATCGACTCTCTCGACTTTTGTAAGGTCTGAAGTCTATATTGTTGATAGATCGGACGGAATCGCGGAGAAGACTCAAGATGAGATTCTCTGTACTGCACGGAGTCAACGTTTATTGAATGCCTTATGGAACTGCTCATAAAACGCTATCGATTCCGCGCTGATGCGCGGCCGCACTGCATCGAGCGCCTGGAGGAAGTGACGCTTTCCGATGGCCGAGATCTCGAACGACTCTTCCAGTGCCTTCATGACCGCCTCCTGGACCACGGCAACGATCTGAAAAGACGGAGTGAGATTCGGCCGACAGAGACACTTCATTCAGACGGAGAGGATGGAATAATGGAGACTTCCTTATGAGAATTTTTACCACCTACCTCTGCACCGGAGTATCCTTCGGTTTTCACAACGAGATCATCGATCAAAACGTCTTCAGCAGCCTGACGCTCACTCAGTTCGATACGGAGGATTTCTCGTCGGGTATCGGTGTCCGGTAGCGGAACGTAGACCACACAGTCCAGACGGCCAGGTCGTAGAAGAGCCTGCTCGGAAGAATGTCTTTACTAATCGGAGCAATAAATTGTATGATTTATTTGATGGGACAGCCGATGAGTTGGATATATTTATTGAGGAGCTTCGAGATATATCGTACTCGCACCTCATCAATCATATCCGGTCTATTAGTTGCGGCGATCAAGATGACATTCTCGAGGCCTTCGATACCATCGATTTCAGTGAGCAACTGGGCCAGAACTCGGTCTCCGACGCCACTGCCGCCGGACGACGTATTCCGTTTGGTTGCGATGGCATCTGCAAATCGGATTAGACCAGTGGATGAGCGCTGACGAGGATCTCCCTGTCAGATTCACGTGATTGCTCGGAGTCGATCCAGCAGATATCGATTGTGCGATAGAGGCAGAATTGCTTCGCTGTCAAGCGTAGTTCGAGGTCGAATATTCCTCATTGACCCGTGATGGTTTCTCGACATTTGAAACAGACCTATCTCATCGAAGAACACCACGGCGGGGGCCACATTCCGAGCTCTCCGGAACAGATCTCTCACAGCTTTCTCGCTATCGCCCACCCACTTCGAGAAGAGTTCGGAGCCGTTGACAGCCAAGAAATTCAATGAGCTCTCCGTGGCCAAGGCTCTAGCGATCATAGTCTTCGAGCATCCTGGAGGACCGTACATGAGCAATCCACTCGGAGGTTTGATCTTGAACCTGTATCATCCGAAACGTCCCATTATCGAATGGCAGGGCGAGTCGTTTATCGAGTACTTGTTCGACCCGGAGTCGGAGACTCGGGTCTGAGGCTCACATGGTGGAAATCAGCATGAGAGAGCTACCTCTGGAAGGCTTCCTTGTGTAGGATTGGCCACTCGACGCACTGCCGGAAACGTTTTTTCACGTCTTCCATTCCACCGATATCCTTCCAATTCACCTTCGGAATTTCCAGAACGACGTCGCGCATCTCGAGGGGCCGCACAACCTGGGCAACGGATTTTTTTAAGAGTCCTCCCGATGAGTTTCGAGGGAAGCATCGCCTTCCCCCAAGAATTCCAATGTCTGAATCGATAAGCGAATACTTCGTCGGCGGAGCGATCTTGGACCGTACCTTGACAGCTTGCTTCAGATGTCCAGCTCTGATGCAGATCTCTCCTGGGTCTCTCATCGACGTAGCCAGTGCCTCCCTCACCAATGTCTCGATATTCGCACCCGTATAGCCATGCAGTGACAGAGTTACCTGAGACCCGGAAAGATGACCAAGTTAATGGGGTTTGGTAGGGCTATCGAGCTGTGGCAAATGACGTTGTCGCTTTCAGTTATCTCACCTCGGTGAGCTCAAGGTCCGTAACATCGTGCGGCATATCACGTAGACTCAACTTGAGGATTTCAAGCCGCTCGTCGGAGGAGGGGATTGTTATCTCAATTTCTCGATCGAACAATGCTTGAAGAATTTCATCCACATTGGACGGCTTGTTGGTGGTCGCTATCACCAGCGTCTGGAAGGTCGAAATTATAGTTCAAGTCTCATCTCAGAGCATGGAAATCGAATAGTGTCGATGGTGGGCTCTGCACCGGATCACCTGCTCAGGGAGCCGTTTGAGGAATGCTACGAGTCTCCCTTGCGATTCCTTATCCTTCCTGCTGCTGAAGGCATCGAGGTTATCAACGAGAACTAGACTCGTCGAAGCCTTCTTCGCGAGGCGAGAGGTTTCGTGGGCGTCGCCGCCCAATCTGAGGATTGGAAGAAGATCCGATCAACTCCAGGGTGAGTGATCTCTTCTGTTAGAAGTAACAAATGAGAGTAGGAGATTCACCGAGCATTCACAAACACTCACACCTTGACAGCGTTCTCTGTGGTTACTTCCACGATCTCCAAGCTCAGATCGGCGGCGGCTGCCCTGACCAGGAGGGATTTTCCGGTACCCGGCGGACCTACCAGCAGAAGCCGTCGCGGAGGGAACTTGCCTGGGGACCAGAACCTTTTAACTCTTGGCAATCTCTGACAACAATAATTCATTCGAAAGACGCTCGAATATGTTGGCGGAGAATCGTCGTGGTCAAATATATCTATCTATCAGGGCAGCCATTCGGGCTGCGGGACGTACCGAGGTAGAGCAGTTTCCGGACTTTTTCTTCAGGTATCCGGGTCAGCCCTTGAAGTGTTTGCTTCTGAAGCCGGAGGCCGCCGATATCATCATAGCTCATTTGGTTTTCAGGATGCTCCTCATTCGGCTCCTGAGCTTTCGCGATAGTTATTTCAGTGCGCTGGCTCAACCTGTAGTATCAGGGATCATATCTATCAGCCGGGCAATTCGACTACACGGGTAGCGATCGGAGATTCCCTAAAAGCGAAACGATTTTCCCAATTCTATCGAAATCGTCCTACAGAAGAGTCAGAATACCTGAAGAAAAGATTGGACTCTCCATCGATAGAGAGGTTTCCGAGGGATGCCTCCAGGGAGCGATTTTCGGCCAGAGCTTTCCGTACTTTTAGTTGGACGATTTCGCATAAATGTGCGAGCTTTATCACGGATCCTCTCTGAAGGCAACTGGAAACTGGAAGAAGCCACGTTTGTCTGAGCGTTCCCCTGGAGTTTGATGAATATGTCTCTATGCAGCCAAAACTATATATATCAACGATAAATTCAAACGGATACATGGGATGGAAATCACGGAGAGAAGAAGCGAAGTCCCGCTGAAGAAGCGGATTCCCGATCTCGTATGTCGGTGGTAAGATTCGTACTTACAGAACTTTCTCCGGAAGGCCTCGATCAAGACACCGTCGTCATTGACCTCCCCGTCGAGCACTTCCAACTCCAGACTGGAGCATTCCGGAACTTTGGAGTCGTATGGCCGCAGCGCGATCCGGGTTCCGGAATGGATATTTCGGTCCGGCATCAGGGGACAAACGGCGAGGAAACTCAGCGCCTAAGGTTGCGGCAGCTCATTCGAAGACTTTCCCGAGCGATTTGATAGGGATGAGGATGAAAGAATATGGAGGTGCGAGCTCACCGAATTCGGCCAAGCGACTTTCAGAGAAGCGAGACCGGTTGCTGTCGAAACGTGAACATATCCACCGCATTTCGCGCCGCAAATTTTCATCGTTGACGGATTCAGGAAAATCGCCTGTTGCTGGAAGGGCATCGAGAGCTTCTCGAGGTCAGGATCTGCGGAATGAACGTACAATGGTCTGAATGATCAGAATTAGGTTTTCTCCAGCGGAGGGCCCATGCATTGGTCGTGGGAAGACTCGATTTATAGATGCTCTAGTCGAAATCACTAGCCCGAACTTACCTCGATTCCTGATCTCGCGAACAGTCGCGTGGAGTATTCCGTCCCGTATGAACTCGTAGTCGGGATCCGATTCAGCCGTCAGATTGCCGCAGTCAGCTTCGTGCTTCTCACGGTCTTTCGGTAAGACTAACACGGAGCACTTGGCACATTCACTGAGGTCGCACTTCTCTTCTCTCTTCTTGGCTGACATCCCAGGACCGGGTAGCACTTCAGAGAGATTCGCGAAAACTTCCGACGATGGTCTCGAACAGGAAAATTCTCTCAAAAACGAAGCCTTCCTGGCAGCAGACTCATACTACTAGGGGCACGTCTTCCTAATCGGTTCGAACAGAACAGCTTCCTTTATTTGTTTATCCTGTATCGTGACAGATATCGTCTGCTATAGTCGTCATTGACTGGCGGCGATCTCACGTATCAGAACCAAGGCCTGCCCGTCCGATCGATCCCGTCCGTTCACGGCAGGGTTCTCCCAGATGCGTTTTGAGCGTCGAGAAGGTGACTTGCCCCCACGGATTCAAACGCGTGCTCTGTGACATCACGCTCCTTGCTTCAGAGAGGGCCGTCGTCTGCTCTGAACAACAACAGCGCGAATAAAGACCGGAGTCCCGTCGTCGCCGACGAAGAACACGGCTGAGAAGCGGTAAAGCGCGTCCGGCACGCTGCTCTTGAGCGAAGAACCGGCTTATCTGTGATCTACCCGGTCGTTCCCGGTTCCACACAGGCGAACTGAGCCGAGAGAGCCGTCCTCAGTCGGAGACTCATGGGAGCAGTACCGTGCTACGACGAAGGAGGTGCTCATAGCAAGCAGGGACCCGAATGTTTTGGTATCTTCGAGGAGATCGGATGAATCTCCGATTGAGGATCCGATGATGACCCCCCCCTTTCCTCCGACCGATTCAGAGGAAGCAGCGAGGATACAGTCTTTTGAAAATCGTCAGAAGAGCAGTCGATCAGCTGGAAGGTCCAGATGGAGAGGGAAGAATCAGCCGACGGTCCCGCTACTGAGATGATCAGTTTAATCAGGGAGCTTCATCATGCCTCGGGCGGGGGGAGGACTTGCTTCACGTTTCCACGTTTCACGTTCATGGTTATTCACGTGCTTGAGTTCGACCCCTCTTCTGGCAGGAGGTTCGAAATCGACCGAACGAACTAGGTCTCTCTCGGGCTGAAGTATACATTACCCGGACACATTTTTACGGTATATAGAATTTTACGGTATATAGTGTTGTGCATGTAGATAGATCACGCATGAAACGCCGGATTTCCGGAAAACGGGGTTGACCAGCTCTCAGGCGGGACGGGTAAGTTTGACAATATGTGAACCTGGACTCGAGTCCGCAAACATTTTGACTCTGACGCGAAGATGAGGGAGGGAAAGAGGGACCTATCACCGACAACGAAAAAACAGGCTCATCAGGTTCAGATTTGAAAACGGGACACTTTTGTTCGGATAAAAACATATCATTGCCGCGCCACCATTCGTTTACCTATCGTATAAAATTGCTCGCATCTTGGAGAAGTTCTTGGGAAGTAGGCGAATCTGCGGGACAGTAGATCTCCGGATCATAAGCGAACAAGGGACAAGAGAAAAGTGACAGTCGGGGGAATAGCGTCGGATGTCGCATACGAGTACGAAACAGATATGGACGAGAGGACTTCATCTCCGGGGACCATTGAGTGCATTCCAGGATGCGTCTTCGAAGACGACCTTGTGGAACTCGAGTAGCAGCGATAGTCGCAGTGCTGATTGACGAGAGGTTGCTATGCATCCTAGAAGGAATTCTCCCGTGACTTGATCTGAGACTCAGCACAGTCGATTGTCTGACTTGGGTAGCTACGTGCGAACACTGAATTATCCCATCGGCGATCCACGGTGACGTCGGCTCCCTATGGTGGCTCCAGAAGCTGAATGATGCATAGTAGGCGCGCTCCGAAGCCTCTCGCGGTAGCACTAAGGCCATTCCCGTGATGAGATTTGGATCGAAGACTAGGGTTCGTTTTCTTCATTTTTTATTCGATTCTGGAGCATCTCTGATCGGGGAGCATGATGGGACAAGATTGGACGGAATACATTCCTCCTGGTCGCCCAGACCGGGTCCGGAAGACATTATCAATCTTCGACGCGCGTGTTAGGAACTGCACGTCGAGTGCCGTATCAATACTTGGCCGAGCTATGTATATCTGGCCGCGGATCTCTTCACGATACACGTTGCTGGAGGCCGGGGAACACATGGGAGAAGACTGGTGCAAAGGATGAACCTAGGATACGCTCACTATAATATTGTACCTCCACCGGCACAATACTACACATTTCACTGATGCTGATACATCTCCTCTCATGGCATCTAATGGGCTTGCCCGAAGCCCAGAAATCGTACTCCCCCCCCCGCCATCGGGATCCTTCATAAAATGAGAGATTTCGATGTTCCATCGAGCATTCGCTTCCGACTTGACGCGAGATTCAAGCCGAGCCAAACGGATTTCGATCTTCCCACAAGGCGACGCTCCCGTTCGGGAGAATTCCGGGATGCTAGCAGTTTCAAGCTCTGCGAATCCCTCATAAGAAGCATGGCTCCACATGAGGAGCACTACCCAAGACGGGAAGCTCCAAGTGTATTATTGCATTGCGAAAAGTAATTGTTCGTCCCGGCTTGTTTGACTGCCTCGTTGCTCCGACACCTGCGGAGGAATGTAGTTGCTTGCACTCGGATTGCAATTGCTGGAATTCGGTAGCTGCCCGACAAAGGCAAGAAGAGTCTACATAGTGCGACGCCGCATAGCAGAACCAAGACAGCGGACTCTGCGAAGAGCGAGGCATCTCGAGTGGGTGCGCGTCGTCATACGACGGTGTCTTATGATCTGGCGCTCCAGATATGAGGTCTCTCTCACTCGTCGCTGTCTCGAATCGGATGACATAACGATCTCTCGATAGTTGCATGCTTCGCCATGCTCGCAGCCCAGGGATATGAGCGTGTAGACATTTTCCGGGTTACATGAGGACCTTCCCGCGGCTGATCCCGTAACGATGAGCACGAACAAGCTGGCCGGCCGACCGACCCGGGGCATCACGCATTGACGTGCCGACGGACACAGTTCTTAGAATTTCATTCTACGACGTCGGCGTCGTACCGCGGGTCCGTCCACCGTTCGAGGTCTCGGTCGTCTACATCCGTAGAGTGCGAGTTTTGTCGATTCTTCAGTGCGGAACTTTCTCGAATTCATTCAGAGAAACGACGGGAATCCCTTGTCGTCCGGTCGATTTCGAGCCGAAAATATCTCTTCTGACAACCCGAGAATTGGATCGACTGATGTCGTTGGTGGTGTAATTCGGGGAGGGGCAGAGAGGGAGAGAGGGGAAGGGAAGCGAATAAGCGATGACGACGGGAGGACTATCGACGAAGGACGTCGTCGTCGGGGCAAGTGAGGAGTTAAGGCGCGGAGAGAATAGATGAGAACTTGTTCTCGGTGATGGCTGTTCTTTTCGGTAGGGCGTCCGATTACCATATTGAATAAAAGGAGGAAACAGAGCAATGGGAGTGGCCGCTTGGGGGAACACGAGCTCCATGGAGATCATGAACCAACGCGAATCAAGAAGAACACCCTCGAGATCCGGGAGGAAAAACGAAAAGCTCCGAAAGAGAGAGAGAGAGCGAGAGATTCTCCGGGTCAAGTGTGAGTAAGTGAGCGCCGCCCGTTGTACTGAAATTTGTCTAGGGAATTAGACCTCCCCTACTTCATCGCCTTTGAAAGGCCAATCCGGCGAAGGGTGACACGTCCTCGGACACGACTTAACGCGCATTCACTCTCCACCCAGGGTCGAGTGGGCATCTTGATATTGATGGAGTCTGAATGTTTCAGATCAAATCGCCCTGGTGGCCGCACGGGGAAGGTCAGAAGGCTGTTGCCGCGGCGAAACCTACTCTAATCCGTTCGTATGAGTTCGCATGGCGAAGCACCTTCGGCGCGTACCGAGCCACCCTCACGGTAATCTTAGCGTGGATATCTCGGTGTAGTCGCAGCAGAATATTCGCACTTAAAATGATCTCATTCACTGTTCTTACAAATCCCACAAGGGTTTCTGACGGCTGATTTTCTTGCACGTTTTCCTCACTACCGCTCTCATTCCGCTGTTCGCCTGATAGCTGGTTGCTACGCTTCCCACTATTCTTACCGACCGAAAACTCCCGTTTCCGAGAGAGAACATGTTTCTCTTTCTTTCACAAGCCCTCGCAGCTTACAAAGTGCAGTTTTCCACAACACGCGATCGATATTCAGTCGTCGATTGTGTGTTCCCCATGAGCATTTCGCTCAAACGGCATGGGGACCCTCTCACACCCCTCGATCGTTTATGGAATTAAAGATTGAATCCATCGCAAGCCGGTTCTGATTCCTCCGAAAAGATATTCGCCCGTCCCGAATTCCATGACGATTCCGCGGGCATGAGCGAGGAAGAAGTCGAATAGACCCAGGTGAAAAGGGGGAAACCCACAACCGAGAACAGGAAGCAGACCGTGAGGTTATTCCGAGGAGTCATGAAGATCGTCGAAGCAGACTTGATCCTCTGCTGAATCAAGCCGAGCCCTTCTCTGATGGGAGGCAGCACCAGCCCACCACAGCAGGGCTACGACTCCTTGGTTGGTTTTTCAAGCGAGGGTAAGTCAGTCGCCCCACGGCTCGCAATTTCGATCTCTACGCAGCGGCTGACGTGCACTCAACAGTCATGCTGCGTCGAACGCTATCTATGAGGACTGATTCGTTAGTCCCGTTAATTTTTTGAGTGGCGCCCTGTATCCGGCTGTCAATGTCGATTATCCCATACCCCATACCTGATCTCCGTATCTTGAGACCGCGTATGTCGTCTTGCCCTATCAAGGTATCCCGAGGTGGAAGATAGCAGAACTCTGATGGAGGGGGCAAATGGGACGCTACGCCTTGGATTCGAGATCCTAGGGATTGTTTAATTGCGTCAGAATGACGACATGAACGACGGCCCCGGGGACATGGATGCTGAGTGAGTCGCAGGGCAAGGAATTTCGTGACGATTTTCATTCAGGATCCGGCGGCACGGGAATCTGGAAAGCTGATGACGATGCTTAGACTTCCAGCACCGGAAGTCCCCACAGTGAAGTACAGGATAGTTGAGAACACGAGCAAAGTGGATCGGTTGAAATCAAGAGTGCTGCTTGGCGTTTTGTATGTGACATATGTGACGGCGATCAGAACGCATCCGATGATTCGACGTCCTCCCGTCGGTCGACGGCTTCCACCAATGGAAGAATCTCTGCTTGGAATACGCAAAAGTCTCGGCTGTTATCGGGAGATATTTCG